CTTTCGACAATGACAATGAACAAAAGCATCTGACTCAAATTTGTGGCACATGTTTCGATTATTTGGACAAAGCATTGGCTATGTGCGAGGACAAGCTATTATCTATGGCCAATATTCCAATCTCTAAAATGACAATCCCGAAGCCTTTTACCTTCATTGGTGAGGATGAGGAGGTAGATGACCCAGATCGAGCCATGGCAATCAACTTGCTAAAAGAATACTGCAACGTGGAAGATACTGGCTTGATTAAAATCATTGTTGATGGTATGAAACGGTAAGGGTGCTCATGCTTTATATTTCTTCACATTATGTGCAATTCTTTCCGCTCTACTGATTCCTGACCGTGACAAACATTGTCCCTTTTGTTAATGTCGTGATGCAGCGAGACTTTGCCAAAAGGAAAGATCATATGGAACCTGGGAGACAGAGGAGATTCCGCCAAACTTTTTGTACAGGGAGCTGTCTATGCCTTCGTGGAGGACGAGGATGAAGATGACGATTTCCGGTTCCAATCAAAAATGACGCTCGGGTCCTTCTTGGGATTGCGCAGCCTGATTCTGGATGAATGCCACTTGGCAACGGCACGCTGCGATGACGAATGCACATTTTACAGTCTTGACAGAGCTGCATACAAACGGCTCTTTCAGGAATCTCCAGAGGCTGCCAGCCTACTGGAAGTATCTTTGGCTCGATACTTGTCTCATAAGCTCCGGCACGTATCGAATCGTATTTACCAAGCACGTAGTTTACCAGTATAAGTGCTGCTGCTTCGAATAATACAATTTGTGATTTATAGTTACTATTTCACCTTCCTGAAAGTGACTACGTCTGGTTCGTCTAAACTAATCGCACGGTGTGCAGAAACACCACATAACCAGAAGAGTTTAGAATGTTTAGTGAAAATTTAGTTAGATAACAATAGTTAGAGTAATACGGTAGTATTCGTAGTAGTTATTACTATGAAATGAGTTTCTAGTACTAATTGCACACAATCCTACATAGGCCCAACAACACAACAACGACACATCTTTGGGAAAATTAAAATGAGGACACAATGACACATATTGGGGAACAGAGGAAGTACGTAATGAACGGTAGCATGAATGTTCCAGCATGACTCGGTCATGAAAAAAATGTGATCGAAGTATGACTACAACTCTTCCGTCCGGTACCAGGTACTTGGTACGATCCGCACTGTACGGAATTTGTTACATAGTGCTTGGTTAGCATCACCGTGATCATTCGAAACAAACATTTCGTTCTCCTCCGGACAACAACTTCAACATCAAAGATGACTGAATCTTTACTAAGAATAATCCACATTATATGGACGTGGCTGGTTTCGTTATGGCAAGGGCTTTTCGGTTCCGTCCTAACGATGGAAGATTCCGGAATCAGCGTGAGAATGGGATCGAAAATTGCCGAGGGAGGATTCTCGGTTATATTTCACGCCTCAGATACGGCGAGCGATGCGAGTCCGAGCCAGAAATATGTTTTAAAGCGGATCTGCTGCCACGACGGTGAATCGCGCAGCGCTTGCATAAAAGAAAGCAAGGTGCATTATGCTATTATGAGAGAGCAGAAAAACAACCAGCAGCATTCGTCCAAGATAATCGCAGCGGGCGGAGGAGGAATGGGAGGGATGGCCGGTTCTACTACCGAAACCATTCGCTCTTCGCTATCCAGTCATATTATGCCACTATTAGGCATGACCTTTAGCGAAAATAACACGATTTGTTACATGCTGTTTCCATTCTTGCCTGATTCCCTGAGGCGAGAAGTTGATCGACGGATCTTTGAACCTATGGAAGAGGCAATTGGCAACGGGAAAAACAAAAACGGAAGCGCCATGACACAGTCCCAAAAGAACCAGAAAACCAAAGATACATTACGAATGCCACCGTGGTCCGAAACAGCTGTTCTCCGTTGGTTCGAACAACTCTGCGACGCGGTAATTCTAATGCACGATGCCGGATACACCCATCGAGACATCAAGCTGGACAACGTCTTGCTTCAGTCAGCGGCAWCACAACAAACGAATAAAAGAGGCAACAACGACTCACGATCGGRAGTARTCTTGATGGATTACGGAAGCGCGGGTCCTCTTAYGCGATCGTTGGCATCGAGGCGAGACGTCTTGGAAATTTCCGACGAGGCTTCGCAGCACACAACGATTTCRTATCGACCGCCCGAATTATTTGCGGGAGAACTGCGTGTGGCAGACACWAGCACCAACGCAGCCATCTCAAAAGATATCGATGGGGACGACGTCTTCGATCCAGAGTCGGTCCTGGATTACCGCAAAGTCGATTCGTGGATGCTCGGGTGCACTTTGTTTGCGATTTTCTTTGGCGCATCTCCCGGAGAATCCGAGTTTTCTCGATCCACCGGACAACTCTTGATTGTAGACCCCTCTCACAACAAGATGCTGGGTCAAATGCCCCCATGGCCAGACGAAGAAACTCCTTCTTCGCGATGGTACTCGAGCGACACAAAAGAATTGTTGGATTGGATATTGACTAAGGATCGGGGGGATCGGCCCACGGTGAAGCAGATTCGCAGGAGGGTCCGGGAAATCTTGTCGCAAAAACCTGCTTTGTTTGCTGGAGATGGAAGTGGA